TATAATATATAGATATATATTTTATCAGTTATCAGTGAAGCACATGCTTGTTGGAGATTATTCACTATCAGCTTGGAAAAATGCTAAGGATAAAAGCCTGTATTATAAAGTTAACCATGCTCAACTAGTTCACTAATTAGAATCTTAATTCTCATACATCTGCAAGCAACATAAAATTTTAGGTTTTGGTGCAACATGAAGAGGCAGCGGTCTCTTGGAGGTCGCTTTAGACTGTACTCACATACATAGCCTTATAAAACTTGTTTGTTCATATGGTAAGTCTCCAATGAATTTCCTTGTTTACCACTTTTCTTATCTTCTCAGCAAAAGCACAGAGCACACCCAGCATCTGTTGGTGGCGTAAACATTTTAAGTAAACTTCTCTGCACTTATAACTGGCCTTCAGCTAGTGCCTATAGCATTGCTGCTAAGACTCCATGGAAACTCTGTTCAGGTTGTGCTGTATATCAAGAAAAGATTCCTTTCTTCTAATAATTAATATATAGGCCAATACGTGTTCTAATTTTGTAACTTTATCACTATAACAATACAATATCTTCCATAAATATTTGTGAATATGTACTAGATGAAATTAAAATGTTTTTTTCTTTCTCACTGATGCTTGCAGCTGAATGTTGTGTGGAAAGTGCTGTTTAGACCTAAAATGTAAGAAATGCCATAAGACAAAACATCCTTTTCTCACCTGAATGACACTTTGAGTTCTAGGATTCCTTCTGAGCATTTTGAAACTCTTGAGGATTATGAAGTTACATGAATCAAAATCTACAGATTATTAAAAAAAAAAAAAAGTCTCAATTACTGGAGTACCCTAACCTGTCAACTTTGTGTGTTACTCTTACAGAGCATTGTTTGTGTTGTGTTTAGACCCTTTGTTGTGTGAATGACATGCTACTGAAAGCAACTGGTTTGAACAAACAAGCAATATTGTACAATAGAAAATACTCTTTCTATATATACATATGCCCTCTAGAACATAAAATATTCTATATTGTGCCACATTTATAGATGACTATTTTTCAAAACTGTCATAATTGCATGAAAATCCATACATGGTGTTACCCACTGTGGCAGACATTAGAATACTTAATTTTATATTTCATTGTATTTCACTTATTGCTAAATAGATTCCTGTTCTAAATTCTTTGTGGTTATCAATAAGCAAAAAAATCTTCAGCAAACCATATAGAGCAATACATACACAGATCAAGTAAGGTTAAGGTATTAAGCAACATACAATAAGGAGAAAAGTTTATAATTTCCTTGTGAGTTAACTTCAATACCTAAAAGGAACTGGGTAAAAAGTGACAAAAAGCACATAGTCCTCTGTAAAGGATCAAGATGTACTTCTGGATGTTCTCAATTATTTCTGTCCCAGAACATTGGTGCAGTGTTCAGTCTGCAGTGGTAGTAACATACATACAAATTCCATGACTATAAACTACTGGAAACTGCTGCAATACCACACATACAAAGACCTTTTCATAATGAGAAAATATATGTTTGTGCCTAACCCACTATAAACTGGGAAACTAGGGCTGATGACCCCTCCCCACCCTCCAGTAAGAGAAAACTCTCTTGTACTGCAAATTCAGGTATTTGCAAAGGAAATAGCCATTTAGGTATCAGAGCCAAGGAAGAATTGCAACAATAAATCAGAATGGTTATCATGCCTGTACCTATCATAAAAGCAATTTTCAAAAAATCCCATAAAATGTTTATTGAGAGCCTCTGCAGGGCCTACTGACAGTTTCTCAGGTTCCACTCCACTGATTATAAACTGTTGGTAACTGATGAAATACTGCATTGGCAGAGGCCCTTGAAGAATGAAATTGCATTTGCTCCTTGCCTGCCACAGCTATGGAAAGCTGTGCTTGTGAGATGAAACTATAAGAAGTAGTAAAAACATATTCACAGTCTCTTCACTTATGAACAATCCTAATGACATGGGAAGCCGAGCTAAGATACCAACTGTGATGTTTGCAGCTGGCAGTAGCAAACCTTTATCTGCCACCAGTACTTTATCAAATTAATATGAACTTTTTCCTTCTATCATTTTAACTGGTTTTCCCCTCTTTTGTCTTCCTAGGTTTTTAATGACCAACAAGTTCTATGGAGGCTCGGCTAGAAATTGGTCCACTTTAGATTCAGTTGAGATTATACAAGATGGAGGAAAGTTTGCTAAATTTAATGTTTCTGTCATCTCTGCTCCTGCAGAGTATTCATTTCACTGTCAGCTGGTGGGAACAAGCAATCTCTATCCTGCAAGGCTGATTCCATCCAACAATGAGGCAAAAAACTGGGATGTTTTCATTTCCAGGTTTCAGGTGAGTACACATTGCCATTTCAGAGATAGTTCCAAGAACTATTACTTGCTATTGTAGGTGCTGAACACATTCATAATGCCCTTACTTTCATTTCAGCCTGAAGGAAAATGTAAAAGAAAAGCTGTTCCCCCTAGGTGAGCTATTCAATAAAGGGGTAAAAAAGACGGCAGTTGCTGAACAATAAGAACATAAAGCACAGCTTTGAAAAACAAAAAACCTATGAAGTTGTCCACAGAAAAGAAAAACCAATAAAACCAATGCGCTTAATCAGTCAAAGAATGACTAAGTCCCCATGCCTGTTTAATGAATTGGGCTGCTGTTGGAAACATGGGCCTGTTAGGTGGGTGGCTTTATGCCGCTTACTTTGTTTTTGTTTGATTTCTTTGTGTTTTGTTTACTCAGTAAAGTACAGCTTAGAGTGGTTGCTGGTTTCAGTGACATAGACTGTCTGTACTCCTACAAATAGAAACAAAGCCCTGTGCAATTAGTTTTAATGGAAGTTTTGCCATGAACTTCAACCAGGAGCAATACTGGGTCTTGCATGACCCAGAAGGAAAGCAGCTGGCTTTTTTTTTTAAAGAGGCATGGATTTTCTATGTATTTAGTTCAGTAGTACAAACTACATATGCGAGGTGTAGGTGATTGCATCTTTATTATTTTGAGCATTCATCTTGACTTAGGAGAAGCACATCAATATTATCTCTTAATAGTGCATTAAGAGATCTCTTTGATTAAAGAGATCATGGAAATGGTAGGAATAACTTCAAACTGGACTCTATTTGTCGAAGATAGCTAACCCCGTAATAACTGGATACAAGTGCTGATATAATTGTATTTATGATTTCGATAACAAACCAAATCTCAATAATCTGAGTCCGGATTTGACATTTCTGCTTAAACAATGGAAATCTCAAAGGAACAGCATTGGTGCTAAGATTTATTTTCCACAAATTCCAGAATTAAGTCCCACATTTTTTTGAGAAGCAACGTAGCAATACACACCAATGTTGTGGAAGTTCCTTTTCTGCTGATGGTATTTTTTTTGTGGAAAGGCATGAAAATACCTGAGTCCACGCAACTGTACTTTGCCTAGTGAACTCTGAAGTTAGAAATTGGCATCACTAGGTGTGGGAGGACATTTATGAAATAAGGGACATGTGAACAATCCAGCCTTTCCAGAGAATCCAAGCTGGGACATACCAGAACTGCTGAAAGCATAAACAACTTCCAGTGCAGAGAGCATGAACATCTTACAGTTGCAGGAGAAGAGACACCCACCATTAATGACGCAGTTTTAATTTCTTGAAGAAGATGGGTGTGAACATTTGTGAACATGACTTGAACATGACTCGCAATGAAGCCAATCAGTATTTACTGGGTGTGGTAAAGGGTTATAAACTGCACTGGAAACACAGAAATAAAGGTTCACTTGTTAGATCACATTGATCGTGTCAGTGTCCTCACACAGCTCCCGCAACTAGGCTATGAAATTACATGGGCTATGAAAGCACAAAGCATCCACTTACAACATATCTTTTCCTTGCGTTTCTATATACATTGCTACTGATGCCTTCTCAAAGCTTAGAGAGAGATATTGCTCCATCCTTTGTAGGCATCCTTTCACTGGAGTCTTGATCAAGAGTAGAAGTAGTAGGCTTCCCACTTGCTTTAGTGGTTTGGAGTTGCCTCCACTGTTCAGACAACAGAAATTCAAGTTCCTCTTGGGAAAGGCCTTTTTCTCTGATCAAGTCCTGAGCATGTAACATGACTTGGAAAGTCCTGTTCTGATCAATTCTGTTGTGTGAGAAAATAGAAAGTCACTGTTCTGGGCTCGTTTCTAAGTTCTAACTGAACTAGATCATACCTTGCCAGATATATTCCACTGATAAGTAGTGAAATCTGATTGATCTCAATATCAGTGTTAGTCCTAGAATGGGATTTCGAAACCCCAAGCTCTCTTGCATGGTGTAAAAAGCACGTGTGATGTGCTCAGTAGTTGCAGACAGCACAAAATCTTGTTGCTGAAACTGAGGAACATGATTTTCATGTTAATGATATGCAACGAATTAGAAACCAGGTCCAATGCCAGCCTAGCTGGTACGATTGCACTTTCCAGTGTTGGGTTCCTGAAAACAGGATTGCTGTACTAGAGCGACATGGCACCTGCACAGTGAAGACTTGCACAGTTTGTCCCAAGGGAAGGCTGAACTGATACAACCTTTTAGTTTGATTCTGGAGCTAGCTCAGTCACTATTATGTAAAGAACCTCTGTGGGATGCTGTTTAGGTGTGCCCATAGCCGAGAATGTCACCACTCATACCTGTACACAGTACCAAAACTACTCTGGTTTTGTTGGGGTGTTTTGTTGGTTTTATTGTTGTTGTTACAAGAATGGTTGTTCTACCACGATACCTTTTATCCTTTTGAGGATCTTGGTATTGTTTATGAAGTTAAAGAGGAAGCTGCCATCAAAAGCAGTGCTTTTCTTTAGTATGTGTCTAGGAGTTTAAAAGCACCTTTATTCCTAAGAAAAACTGCCAAAACTTTAAAATAATTAAAAAAAAGGATTATTTTTGGCTAAAATATTTCTAATTTCAAAAATGAAATGTTCAGTGTACAGTTAAGGGCCATGAAAACAACAGATTTTACTTGAAGGTTTTGTCAAAGGTCGAATGATGAGAAAACTCCGTCCCAAAAACTATTTTAAAAATTAACAGTAAATGCAGACTAGTATAACCAAGAGAAATGACACTGGTCCAAACACTAAAATTAAAACTTCTGCAGTGCAGAAACCTGTATCCAAAAGGCTTTTACATTCATAAAAATCAGACAACCACATGTAAGTATTTTTAACTTTTCTATAGGTAGAAATGCTGCTAGGAATCACATTTTTATCTCCCACCTGGGATCTAACACCCCCACAGAAATTATAAAGCTTCAGAAAAACAATAAAAGAACGTTGCATATACTTCATCTCCTGACTAAAAGTAGGCATAGCATTTTAAGAATGTACAAGTAAAGCTTTCACCTCAAACGTTCAATAAGCATAATCCTGCTTCAAAAAACCCCCAATAGGATTGACATTATAAAATTCAGTATTTCTGGCTCTAAATCAGAAGTGGTAAAGCCTTTCTAAACCAAATACACCTGTTAAGTGCCACAGAGAGTTCTTGTAAATACGCTAACAAGCGTGTATTGTTTTCCAGAATTTCTACCCATTTTTTTGGAACATAAGTGACATAAATCATCACCTGCTTTCTGTTTTTATTGTAAATAAGTCATTCAGAATACATTTCATGACTCCTATTCACATTCTCATCTGTTGTCAAAGCAGCAGCTTAACAAGCAAAGGCTTTGCTAACCACCTGTATTCTCCAAAACTGTGCAAACACTTATCCAACCCAAAAGCTTATTTTCGCTAATCCTGCTTTAATCACAAGTCTGACTGCCTATAGCAAAAGCAGGCAGTCTTTGAAAGTTAGCTACCATGATCTGACTCAGAAAGATTCTTCTAAGAGGCCCAGAAAAGCTTGAATTGCTAAAATTTTCTTCATCTCCACAGTACCTAAATAGCCCTTAGTTCTGCATATGATAGTGGTTTTATTAAATAGCATTCTTGAAGGTATAGACATTGGTGTTAACACACATATTATGTATGTGCACATTAACTTTAGGAGCCTGAGCCATGAATGAACTCAAACCCAGAGTGCTTACTGGTGTAGCATGGTATGCAAGCCACAAAATAATTTCTTCAATGTTTTACCAACAATTTTCCTAGGAAGTACGAATGCTTTTCTTACCACAAAGCTTTCTGGTTTTATCATCGCAAAGCATAGACTGATCATGGAGTGGGAACACAAAAAAGTAGAAATCCATGATCTTCTTCTTCCTTGCTTATTGCCTGGTGAGGGAAGTGGTTTAAATAAAATAATCCTTTTTTATTTTATTCTGTAGTATTTTATAGAAAATAGTCAGTGTTAAGGTCTTGTTTCTTTACTGGTGGATTTATGATGTTTGGTGCTTTCCTTACACAACCATTTCAAGGAATCTAAAAATACTTAAAAATCCCAGTCTTCATTTTTCTTTATAACATTATTTAAGAAAGACTCAAAAACACAGACCAGATTAATTCTTTCCTTCCTTCATTTTCTTCCACCAGCTGGATTCCCTTCATTCTGAAGGAATCAGGGCTTATGCTATTATGTGCATGTGTGTAGAGGGGGGGGGGATTGTCTTCACAGTTTTCTAATCCTTTGACAGATTTTAACAAAATTTTTAGAAGGACAGTGGTGTCAAAGGCATTAAGTTTGTTGATACTTTTTGCAAAATTGGTGGCTAGGCAGAGAATAGATCCCCAAAGTAGTTGATTTTTCTGAGGAAAATAATATGGTAGGAGCTCAGTCAGTGGCTGACCTTGAGAATCAAGTCAAAGGAGAGATATCACAGATTTTTCTAACTGCTAGAAAAGCTTAAATGCATTTCGTATGCTGCTAGACAACACAGACCCCACACCTCATAAAGCAAGCCTTCTCTCCTGTTTTGAGTCTCTGATGCCTAAGGAGGGGTGAAGAAAGTTTTCACAACAATGTTCTCCCTGAATTTTCACTAAAAGCCAAAAAGATCACCTTCACTAGATGCCTTTTAAATTAGGTTTTTGGAGTTTTGTTTGTCAAGGAGTTATTAGCTAAAAATCTTAGGATAGTTCAACAAATCTCATGATCTAGGGAGGCCTTGACTCTCATCCCTAACTTAGTGCTTTGAGTTTCCTGGTTCTAAAGTGGTTGCTGAGAATACTTATCACATGTGCCCTTTCGGACTTGGCTTCTAAAAGTAACACAAATATCTGAAGTGGGAAACCTACTTCATGCTAAACAAATGAACCCTGCATCTTTAATTTCCTGGGTGAAAAAGGGACCTGGAAAATTGTGATGCAGAGGATTTTGTTCTCACTCTTTTTTAATGGGGAGAGTGTGAGTGATAATTTAACATGAGCGTTTTTTGTAATTGCCATATATATCCTGAAAGTAGGGCCTACGCTCTACACTTAATTGCTCTATCTACCTTTCTTCATTTTCAGATTCAAGGCTTCAACATTGAGAACAACCAGTTTTCCTATGCAAGTGACTGTACAGGTTTCTTCACTCCTGGAATATGGATGGGGTTGGTGACATCCATAGTTTTACTGTGGATCCTGGCCTATGGAATCCATATGATCATGCAACTCACGACAAACAGCAGATTTGATGATCCTAAAGGTTCAGCTCTGTCAGTTCCTCAGACAGAATAGCCATGGATTGACACAATGCTGCTGTGGCTTTTCCTGATCTGATATTTATGATTTTTATAACCTTTCTACTTCATAACACGTGTAAACTAAAAAGATACCATATCAAAAAAAGGATAATTAAATTACATATAAAAAGGATCCTTGGCCACAATAATAATTCTACTTGTTGACTACTGTCATGTATTAATAACTGTCTGTTAGCTGTAGAGGTTATTACTCTATCTGGCTATTAGAAAGACCATTACAAACTGCCTTCTGATAAACTGTTATTGGCAAAGTAAGGGTATCACAACAGAGATAAATGGGAAGGATAAATAATTTATTTGATAGGAAACTGTATCTTGAAACTACTGGTCTCTTTAAAGGCTCTTTAGTAAGTATGTGATGTTGATGCTATATCTTCAGAAGGCTGAACTGTGTCTTGTCTTTTCTCTTCAGAAAACCGTCCAGAAATGTACAGAACTAATGAAGTATAAGTCACTAAATAAACGATCTTGAAAAGTTTTTTCAAAATATATCACTTTGTTCAGATGTGGTGTCACAAATAATGGGTGGATTAAGGTTTATCTTCCCTCTAATGTTATATTATGACTGTGAGAATTATGTCGAGTAACACTAACTCATGTGTTTGTTTTAGCCATGGACACCTGACAGACTTACTAAGCAAAATAGGTTCTTGTCCAAACCGATCACAAAATTTTATTTGTGTCATGCCAATGAATGCAACTTTTCAAGCTCGTAACCTAATATGATTCAATGTGCTAGTGCAGACAGCATCTTAACAGAGGTAAGGTAGTTTTCTTAGCATCCCTCCTTTTCCAGGCATCTCTGGAGTAGTTACAAAGTTTGTACAAAAAAGAAAATAAAACATATGTAAAGTCATTAGAAGCACTGTGCTAACATACTGTTAGGTCTGAACATGTCTATAGTGATCTCAACGATTCCAGAAGCCTGAAAACATTCAGAGTATGTGGAATTCTTCTGCAATTAATAAAGACACTACATCTTCACATTGGGCAATCTGACTGTGGAATGAATTACTAAATGTCATGAAAAGCTAGGAAATAGTAAAAGAGAAATGGTAAATTGGTAAAAACATTTTCATTCTTTTTTTTTCTGTAATGTTTTGTTATGACTGTGCATGTTCTATTAGTAGTTAAAAAGCAAAAAGATACCATTTTGACAAAATTACATTTGTCACATGAGAAAAATTCTAACTTTTTTAATCTTGATCCATGCCATAGGACAATGATATAGAGGAAAGACAATTAGAATCAACTATTCAAGTAGACTAACAATAGTTTCTACCCATCATTCCTAGATGTCACATTTTCATTATGCAGTCAAAGAGGTAAATTATATGCTGTCTGAAGCAATTCCTCCTGGATCATTCAATCCTGACCTGGAAAACAGAAAGAAAGCTGGCATGTAACTAGCAGAGGTGACTCCTCTGCTGTGATATTTTTCCCAAATGTTCTTCAAAACCTTGAAGAATGCTGGCATTTGATCTACACAAAAACACTGTGTTAGAAAGACATATTTTCTTTGGAAAAATTAGTTGCCAGGAGAGACAACTGGACTTTTTTTATTAATTCTCCCTTCAAAGCAAGTTACATGATTGTGGCAATTGAAAATTGACATAATAGTAACTTAACTGATAGCTAGAAGAGAGGAAGGCTGTTACAAATGGCTTGGTTTGGAGAAGATAGATTTCTTATGACTTTTATCTAGATTCAACAAGATTTGGAACAGATTTTGTTCAACAGTGGTCATATATATGAACTGAAGAACAGCTTTACAACACTGCCCTGCTCAGGCTCCTATCTCTGGCAGTGGGACGAGTATGGTGAGCAAGTAGTAACACTTCCTGCAAGTGTTCTCCCATTCTCCACTGTTTAAGCTTGGGGACTTCCTCCTATGCCAGAGGTGGTGTCTTTGTGTTTAATAACTTGGTATAGTTATAGTCCATGAACTTGTCCAGCCTCCTCTTGAGCCTGTAGACTTCCTCTAGAGGTCACAGTGTCCTGACTGCAGTGTGGCACTGGGGATACCTGTACGCTCTCTTGGTTGCCTATGCTGCACTGTGGAGAAGAGCAGGAGGAAACAGTCTCACATAGGCTGTACCACAGGGAAGAAATAAGAGCTCAGACTGGAAGAGATGTTGGAAGAAATGTTTGTTGGATTAGCTTTTCGCTGATTCAGTAAAACTGAAGGTCTCTGAAAAGGGCCAGACTGAACTGTCTGCTGCGTTAGATATTACACATTCCAGGGTGAAGGAGAAGGCATCTTTTGAGGAGAAAATCTTTTTCCTTCTACCTTTCTCACAACAATGATATCATGAATGCTTTGGCAAGTAGGGCCTGTGGGGACATATAATCTGTTTCTGTAGTGGGTTGGGATATCCCTGTGATGGAAAGCTCAAGCCACGTGTTGCAGCCCTTGATATGGTTGTGAGACTTTGAGGTCTGTGCTAGGAAAGACAGCAGAAAAGGAAAGGAACTGCCAAAAGTCCTGGGGGACAGGTGGACTGGGTTAAGGGGACAATGGCCAGTCCCTCTTAAAAGAGGCTCAACTGTGCTCTGTCCACATGTGGTGGGTTGACCTTGGCTGGCTGGCAGACACCCACCCAGCCACCCTGGCCTCTTCTCACAGAGGCCACCCCTGCTGCCAACACCTGGACATAGACACCCAATACACCACCTCAATGGGCCCTGTGTGCTGCTGGAGTCCTCATGCCATCTCAAACCCTTGCAGCTGCGCATGACTGTGCCCTGCGGCTGGAGTCAAAGGCAACTGATCACTGATTTCAGCAGGGCTAGATTCCTTCCTTAATATGGATCTTAAATAGAGCTGGGCCTCCAGAAATTCTAGCAGGATTTTGCACCCATCTGTGTTTGTTTACCTTTCTGAAGTTAGAAACCTGTCAGGGGCCTTCCAGTTCTGTGTACTTCTGATTTCCCTATTCAGCTTAATCACAGGTGTACTTGTTAAAACATGCCTGCTTTGGGAGCTGTTCCAGCCAGAATATTAGCTCTGAAATGTGTGAGCCTTTAGGACTTCCCCCAGCGCTCACTGAAGTTATCAGAAGTACTGACTTCTGTGAGTGCTAGCTGATTTCTCTACAAAGTACAAAAAAATTTAATAAAGATGGAGGGGATGATGGGAAAGAGCATCAGTTAGAAAAGTAAAAGCTTTTTTTTTTGCTTTCAAATATAGAAATAAATGAAACTTTATCCAGAAAGAATATCAGAAACTATCAAACTATAGCACAACTTGAAAAAAAAATCACTTTAACTGTGAAAGATCAAGATTAAAACCAGAGAAAACTGAAACCTAAACACAAAACTCCTGAAGCCATAAGTTAAATTATTTCTTCACAAAATTCAGCAATGATCATTTGTTGGAGGGGAGAGCTGAGTTGGAGCTAGAATCTGAACCTCCTGACCTGATACAGGTTTGCTTTCTATCCTGGTCTGTTGGATTCTCTACTTCTAAAATTACTTGGTTCACAAATCATGTTGAAACCCAGCAATGACTTATAATAAAACAGAATTTTAATAAATATAGCCCAAGAGTAGTATTTTTATGTAGGCAGTAAAGGAAGAGAAGTCATTCCATCTGTCAAGGGAAGACTCAGTGAAATAATTGGCTTCTCCTTTCCTTCTGGGTGACTGATAAATAATTAATATGCAAATCTAAATCAGCTGAATTATTAGGCAGTGTCCAAGCATTAGAGGGCTTTGATTATTTCAGCATAAACTGGGCTCAAGCAGGGGAATCTAGAGATGCTGAAAACAAGGAATGACCATTAGAAGCTAACTCCTAAGATAATCAAAGATATAAACGAAGCCTGAATATTGGGTATTGGTCACTGGTGGCAAAAAACTAGCAGTAGTCTCAGCAGGTGGTGACGATTGTGGGGGCAAGCATAGTGATAATCTTACCCTTACATTGAACAAGAGGATGAGACAACCCACACAAGGGGGGCAGGGACTCCTTTTCCTGCAAGCTGTTTTTGCTGTTGAATCCTGTGATGGGTTTACCCTGGCCAGCTGCTAGATGCCCACTCAGCTGCTTTCTCACTCCTCCTCCTCAACAGGACCGGGGGATAAAATAAGATGGAGAAGCTTGTGGGTCAAGATAAAGACAGAGACAGCACCTACCAGTTACCATCATGGGCAAAACAGACTTCTGAAAGATTAATTTGTTGCCAATTAAAATACATTGGATAGTGAGAAACAAAAAAAAAAAAAAAAATGAAAATTATGACTTCAGTCTGCTCAAATGACAAAAAATCCTGTAATGCCTAATATCTTCCAGTAAAGGAATCTGATCTTCACTTTGCTCATAAAGGTTCTGCTCTCAGATTAGTCTGTTCCTTATCAAAACTTAATCCATAATCAAGGCAAAAAGAGTTGTTTCTTCAGAACTCACATTTCTAGCAGCTTAAAAGATCTTGAAGTGTAGAGGGAAAACAAGAGAAAAAAAAGGAAAGAAATGAGATCTTGCCAAGGGGTGGTTCCCTAAGTAGTCTCTCACTTCCACAATGTGGGATGGTGTTTCTCTTAGTCTTCCTACCTGTGTAGGTGGAAGGGAGACTTGCAACAGTGACTGAGCACAAGAGCAAATCATCTGCTATTGATGTCCCACAAATGAAGTGGCTTCTTTATCTTCACCACAAATTTTGTGTGCCTCCTGCTTGAACACAGGTTCCCTGCTCCAGATTGGCTGGATTTCTGTATAACCCCTGGACCCGGTATGTTCTTGAGCTATTATAGTTGAACATTGTTTTAGACTGTTTTATGTATCATTCACTATTGCCATAATAGAATATAGTTCACTGAATGATCATTTATTTTCTGCTTTGAAAATGGCAATGTGAGTGTCCAGTCGAAGACTGGAAAACCCATTTAAAGTCTGTCTTAATACTCCTTTAACTAGTTGTGTAGAAGCAACTCAAAATGAATAGTGTACAGTCACCATGACATCATATGCAACTTTCTTTAGTTCATAAAAGCTGTGCAAGAAAACCCAGTAAAAGTACTTTTGCAAGGTAGATAAGTTAAGGACTTTC